TCTAAAACGAAGTAGAGACAACACGATCTTCTTCGAAGAGCTTAGTCAAAACCTGGTGGTTGTGTTCCAGTTCATGGATGTGCAAAATGCGCTTTGTGAAAATTCGGATTCGTCTTGATTTGTTGCACGGGGCGCGGAGCCAAAGTGCAAGCCGTGCCGAAACTGTGCAATGTGTGGAGGTGCGTCCCAACCACCCATGCAGGCACATGCAAATTTTGGTCTGGGCAGCATTCTGGTCTGATGCCCTTCTTGGACCCATTTGGAGCCATAGCCGTTCTTTTCACTTGACTTCCTCGAAAGGGGCGTGTGCAGAAAATCATGCTTTCCTAATGTGTAGTCGGTGCAAACGTCCATCCTGGACAAAACTCCTTCCAGCGAGAGATGCTAACTTGGATGCCCTTGAGGAAGAATTGCGCAGAGAGCCGCACCAAAGGAAAAACACGTAAGTGTTAAGTCTGCCCTTGGTGAGAGCCAGCGATCATCTTGCTACTTTGAGCTGCTGTCTCTGTCTGGGCACTCTCACTCCAACTCTACTACCGACCACTTGACGTTGCAGTCAGTTCAGACATCATCAATTGCAGTCGGCTCAGATCAGATGCAGCAAAAGAAAACAAAGTGGAAAGCAAGTTGGTTAACGCATCTTTGCGATATCTCAGATCTTAAATGAGGTCTGTGTCTTGTGTGTGAAGTCGTGCAAGTGGTGGTCGCCAACAAAATGTTCGAGCACAACTTGCACAAGCAAGGACGCCAGAGCCGGTGTCACTTGACGAAGGGCCAAATAGATGCCACCTTTTGTTTTTGCACGAGTCTTGACGCCGTGTGTGCGGTATGCACAGGTCATCATGCTGTGGGTGGAAACTCTGCAAAGTGAAGGGAAGAAAACAACCACCGAACCACAAGAAAAACCAAAACAAACAGAAAACCAAAACACACACCCAACCCCAAGAACATCACAGATCTCGAAATTTTCGGCAGTACATGCTTGCTGGGTGTCATGAGGTACGCAATCTGATACAGTGCGCGAACGTGAACTTCCGAATTTCTTCAATGTTGGTCTCCAAAATGTTCACATGGGTAAGCAGCTTGCAATTGTCACAGGCATGGGTTCCTAGCTCATTGGAGTCAAGGGCAAGTGGAATTCTTTCAACCCTGTGGAGCAAAAGTATCCCTTCGTGAGCTCACGTCGTGATGCCGATATGGGCAAGTCCAAGTCATGGCCGTCTTGTAGGATCGCTATGTTGGCTAAATTGATGCAATCAACAAAGACGGTCCCCAAACTTTGGATAAGATGTCTCCAAACATCGCAGGAGGTCAAGCCTAAGATATGGCGAATCGGCAAAGAAGCTTTCCTGTGTTGCACCTCTCCGAGAAGTTGTTGTCCCCCCGTCTGGCCGTCAGAGCTTTCTGCGGCTGTAAGCAGCTCGAGCACACAAAGTTGGATGACTCTGACCAGTGGCTCAGCAGAGCCAAGGTGGTTCCTGTTTTCTGCTCTGTCCGGCTTTGCAAGGTGTGGACGCAAGGCCGTGGCGTGTTGTTTGCGCGCGCGTCAAAGCTGTCTCACTCTAGTGTTTTCCCCCTCTGGTTAGGACAACATCTTGGGCTGCCGCCTGAGAATGTGAATGCACAGTGAGGATACGGCGGCACCCTGTGAAAACACGGAAGCGAGTGCGACCCTTTTTGAATCCCGCTCTTGAGCCCAACATAACAGTCGGTTTGACTGTATGTCTGTTCGTTCACTCTTCTCTGAAGAGGTCTGACTGGTCACAGTCGTCCAAAACATACTAAAAGTACAAGAAAGCATCTCCAAACACTCTCAAGCAAAGCTAGGCTATACACAGCTCATCTCAAGCACTACAGCTCTATACTTAGGGCTTCTCTAGACATGCTCCTAGCCACTTCTGGTCACATTCCACTTAGTCCTGCTAAGGTGGTCAAAGAGAACACACTCCAAGGAGGAAGATCCCTACTCAGCTCCAACCACAAGGACAGAAAACAAAACACTTCCACTACACAGAGGTACTAGGTGATCCACACACTGTACAGGCGTGCTACCCACACTTTTCACACCCCTTCTTGGGTCACCTCGTACCTTCTCCTGGTCTTCTTGTCTTCTTCTTCTCTTCAATTCGTTTTCTCTGAGCAACTAGGGTTCGAGCATCAACTAAGATCTCAACTCCTGTGGTCCAAACTGGTCTCCAGGTCGATCAAACGTCAACGAATCAAGAACAACAAGCTTCAAGCAAGTTCAAATCAAGATCAACCCATCAACCATGCTTCAACCAAGCAAGCAAAACAACGAAGATTCAAGGTCCCTCAGACAGCAGGGCTTCAAAGAGCTGCACGGGGCCAGCTCTTCGCCTCTGCTTCTGTCATCACTGGGACCCTGAAACCATACAAGGTCTCAAGTGGTCACCTGACAGGTCAAGCAAACGAAGATTCTTGAGGACAAAACCTGTCACATTCAACGTGCCAAAAGCTTCACACAACAAATGGAAATGAAGTCTAGTTGCAACCCTTTCTAGATACAATCCCTGGGTTACTGTTCAAACTTCCAACTTCCAAGGCATGTCTCTGGTTACAGAACCCTGTTAATTAACTTCAACTGCAACCAATCGACTCGGCGTCAACTCAATGCAAACGTCGTCCAGTCCCAAAGTCCACACCAAGCAAAGGGAACTAATCAACCCTTCTAGTTACTACCCTCTGCTACTGTTGTGCATGGTCCATGGTGCAAATGCAAAAGACATCCCTGATTCTCACAGTTCTCAACCCTTGATCTCTTCTTGATCTCACTCCCTCTGAACCCCTGACCTCATGCCTTTTCGTCCTGGCAAGTTCAGACATAGCAATGCACAAAAACTTCAACCCTTCAAGATCACACACGTGCATGCCCTTGACTCAACAAGAAAACTTGAACAAGACATCAGGAAGTTCAAGTGAAGATCAAATGAAGTTCAAACAAAGTTCAACCAGAGTTCAAACCCAGTTCAAACTGAATCTCACAAGATCAAATTGAACAACTGCAAATCGAATGCCAAATCTCTCAGAACAAACCCTTTTCACCAAGGTGAGCTGGCCGCAGTCAAAGATGGCCTTGAAAGTCGATCTTCTTAGGATGCTACATCCCCAGAAGACGGATCAACATGATCTTAAAAGATCTAAATGAGGTCACCCTGGTCTGGCTCAGCCCAGTTCCATGATCCATCTGCCAAACGAACACGTTTGTACAAAGGAGCCGCCATCGGCCCTGTCGATGCGGTTGCACCTCCCGCTGCACATGGTGTCTGCGGGGTTCCATATGGGCCCGTTGGATAGCCCTGCTGCGGATATGGTGGTGCCGGTGGGAATCCTGACGGTCCCGGTGGAGTCAGGGTATTCGGCATCAACTTTGGCTGGACAGGATGGGCTGCTGTTCCCAAAGTCGCTTGCGGCACATTCACACCCGCAGGCGCAAACGGAGGTGGCGGCAGCTTGGCTGAGGCTTTTGCGTCCTCGGTCTTGGTCGACTTCGATTGCAGCTCAACCAATTTCCTCAAATGCTCGCTGATTGCCGCAAGATGGTTCTCCATGTTTTCCATATTCTCAGCGGTGCTTTCGGCGATGCGGGCATTCTTCGATAGGTGCTGTTCCACCTGCTGAATCATCTTAGCAGATGATATCAATACATCCTTCATCGACTGGTTGACCGCCTTGCCGGGGCCGGCAGTTGCCAAAGCATGTTTTCGAGAGTCTTGTGGGTTTGTCTCTGATTTTGCTTGGAGTCATCCACCGCGACACGGGTCGCGCTTTGCACCCCCACAATGGCACCGGCTAACGAAGAAAGGTGGTCATGCTTCGGACACTCTCCTGGGACTCTGACATCTTTTGGGTGGTCCATCTGATCACGTCAAGGACCGCGTCACGATTCCCCTCGCGAATGTCCCCGACAAACGACCGGAGGGAGCCCTCTTCCACTGACACATACTTCGAGAAGTATGAAAAACTGTAGAGGTTTTCCCCGTCACGCAGAGCTTGAAGCCGATTCTTGTTGCCTTCCTGCACCCTCACAACGTGGCTCAGGCTCCGGCCTGTGAGTGGGCCGTCTTTGACCAAAGTATTATCTTCGTTCGTGCCCTCCTTGGTCGCCTGACTCTGAAGATCCGAAATGAGGGCCCTAGGGTCCCCAAATCCTTTTCCACCTGGTCGCTGGCCGAGTGCCAGCGGGCAGCTTCAGACTTCAGCTCCAAAAGCGAGCATTGAGCAAACAATTCCGCTGACAACTCTGCTTTTCCAAGGTTGGCGTCTTGGAGACGAGAAGCCTGAACACGAAGCAGGTCTTCATTCTTGAAAGGAAAGGTCGTCAAAGTCGTCGAGGTTCCCCCGACCGGGGCCTCTGGGGCTGCACTCTCCCCATCTCCTGAGGCGGCAGGAGCCGCTTCCACAGGCTGCTCCACCTGGGCATCTCCATCAGCACGAACAGGGCTGGCCATGATCACAAAGTCTTGGGAAAACGCGAAATCCGATCACACTTGCGCTGTTAGCAAACTCGAGCTTGAGTGGTGAGCATTGAGCACGTGTATCCCTCACAAACAAGCAAACTGCAACTCACAAAGAACATCCATCTGATCTACGAAAATGAAATCTGTTCTAGTTCAACCCTCGAACACGCTACCAACCCTGGGAAAAAGAATGTTGACAACCCTTTTGCACGACTGTGTCCACATATTCTGCAGCATCTGAAGTCTCAAACTGTCACTCTCTGGCGTCTCAACCCTGCAATCCCTGGCATGAAACACAAACAACTGGACATGTCTGACACTCAAAACCCCTGATCTAGCTACTCATGGTTCGCGACTCCTTATTGCAGCAAAAATCAACGGTTTCAAGGTTTCAAACCACACACGAAAATCCTTCGCCTGGTGCAAGGCCACCAGTGGACTTCTCTCTGCTGCCTTCTTAAACAAAAATGGCCGCGGGCGGTCATCATTCAGTTCCACTGTCTCAAGGTGCTGAGAACAGTCCAAACAAGGAAAAGTGTCACAGCAAAAGGTTCTACAGGTCAAACGTCTCCATTTCCTTAGGAAAGAGGTAGCTATCCGGACATTCGGTGAAGCAAACAGGATTCCTCAGTGAATGCTCATCCAGATTCCAAGCAACGTGCACAACACAAATTCAGCAAAACTCAAAACACTGCACCACAGAACAGAAGGCTCCTAAATCCACAAGAAACAGTCATCCTACACCTCCGAACCTAGTCGGACCTCAACGACTGCTCTCGGACACGTCCTTCCACTAAAGTTCTGTCAACTCAGCAAGAGGTTCCAAATCCACACGCTGCACACAAAAGGCCACCGAAACTCTTCCGAACTCATCCGGACGGATCCGAACACAGACGGACAACAACAAAACACACAGCACAGATTCAGAAACTCTTCAAAACGACTTTTGACTTTGGAAAACTGTTCCGGAAAAAGCACAATCGACAAAATTCAAACTTCAATAGGCACAATGCCCAGCTCTCCCGTCACCTTTCCGATCACCAACGGACGAAAAATGCAAGAAACACGCACGATGAGCATACTCCCCTTCTCGAACTGAACGTTCACTTGTCGGAAGTTCGTCGTCACCATCGGCGTCTCGAGACAAGCCCCTCAACAATGCTGCCCTATCTTCATCCAAACCGGGTACAAGTCCTACAGCATTGCAGAGGTTCAGCCACATCTCAATGAGCTTGCAACTTTTCGTAAGACCGTCGGACGGGTTGGAAACACCTTCCCAGTGTTCCAAGGTCAAGCGACGTCGTCGATGGAGGCACTTCACATAATGTGCTGACCTGGACTCCTGGACAAAGCCGGGCCCAATGGCAAACATGTAATTGTCACAAAGCTGGTCTGAACTGTGGTGTTGAAACTGTTCACTGCCGCGAGCTTTGCAGTGTGGAGTGTTTGGGCTCCCGGGTTGAGACAGTGTCGCAGTTCCATTGTTTTTTGCACGGGTATGGGCGCTATGTGTGCCGAGAGGCACAAGTCACCGAGACGAATTCAGATGGGGGGTACGCGAAATGAGCCTGACAAACACGACAAGCAGCACCAAACCAAACCCCAAAACCAAACACCACACCAAACAAAACAACCACCAACCAGAACCAAAGGGGTCAGGCTCAAGTCCGTACGAGTCTAACAGAGCAAAAGGTGTAGATCCGAGGACCAACACAGTAGTGAAACGGGGCAATGAATTCATATCAAGCCGCTCTCAGTAGTGGACGTCCAGGGCGAAACTGCATTCTGATGCAGTCTGCGTTTGGGCAGGAGTGTATTCCTTCAGCGGTGCACTGCGTGTGGAAATGCCTGAGCATGCTGAAAGCGAGAGTGAGGTGCAATTCAGGTTCGGCTAGGTCCATGCAAAGCAAGGCACAGCACAACTTATATCAAAGAATGCATGTGCGCAAAGAACCTAGGGAGTCTCACAGTGACCCAGAGCGTGGCGGTAGCACTTCACCTCTACGAAGCAAAACTTCAGCATACTCGTGTCTTGGCTCGTCCTTAGCGCACCCCTAGCAGCAATCTGGAGCATGAGTTTTGGCCTAGCGAATCATGTTGGGAGGACAGGGTTGGTGCCTGGCCTTAGCTTATGCTCATGTAGTCATTTCACTTGGCTGCAATGAACTTGCACATGCTGCTACTGCATCCAGGACATTTCAAACGAACAGGAGTCTTCGCAGCAGTGTGCCAGACAGGCGGAGGCACGGGAGGTCGGGACATCTGCAAGCAGGTCACCGCCTCCCCCAGCGGGGGAGGCAGGAGCACACGGGACCTGGTGACAGCGCCAAGGGGCAAAAGGCACTGAGCCAACCAGGTCTCCAAGGACCGTCCATCACAGACAGCTTACCTATCTGACCATTGCACTGGGACAAAGAAGCATGAATTCTTCCCACTCTTCTTTCACGGCATCTGGCTTGGGAAGAGATCGAATCCACACTGGGAGTGTTAATTTGGTACACATTTCAAAGGTGTTATGCTCAACATAAGTCCCCCTCCAGGTTCCTTTCTTGCCTTTCTTGCCCATCCGGACGATGCAGAGCTGTGTGCAGTCCGCAAAAGCTCGCTTGTTGATGTATAACAAGGCAAGTGGAGTGTGTAGGACCTCTAATGAGCTACACTTCTTGAAGGCTTCTCTGCCAACGCGCCTCAGCGTGTTAGACAATTTGATGCACTGCAGTTGGCTGCAGCCTGCAAAGGCGCTTCCTACGATTTCTTGAATGCCGGTGCGGGAGATGTCCACTGTCTGCAATCTTGCGCAGTGTTCAAAGGCTGATGGTCCGATCCAGCTGAAGTCATTTGGGAGGTCAATCGTTTCCAGCCCTGTCCCTAGGAAGCACCCTTCCGGGACGACCCTGTGCGGGTCTCGTGGGTTATATTTGGTCCTGTCCAGGCCAATTGTCCGCAAGCGAAGCTAATTGATTGCTTCGTTGGTCTGGGTCTCCAACCCAGGCCAACGCATGGCACTCCTCGAAAGCCCAGCAGCCGAAGTCAATACACCCCGGAGCAGTGACTGTGTGGAGCACATAACAACATCGGAAGGCTCCATCTTTCAGGCATAGTAGTGAACTGGGCAGGTGCACTATGAGAAGCCTAGCGCAATGCTGCCAGGCCGCTTCCCCAATGGTGTGTATGCCTGTTTCGATTCGTAGGTGCCTAATATCGCTCGAATGTGTGAAGGCGTGGGGGATCACCTGCCCTGATCTGGTGACAGGCACTCGGATTGCTTTTGCATTCTGCCTCATCTGGCCTTTATGCTCTGCGCACTGACAGCATTGGCGGGCGACTATCTGAAACTGGTTGCAATCTCTGAGGGTGTCCCACACCGGACTGCACAGAAGCTGCCCGGTGTCTTGTCTAACAAAGGTGAGTTCACAACCAAATGTGCTGGTGCCTCCTATTGTGGGGAGCTGCTCTAGTACTGCAGTTTCAAACTCATTAAAGCGATCAAATTCTTGGAGATCGACTGTGACTTGATAGTCTTCTCCTGAGAGAGACGTTCACTGCAGGTAGACCACCAGCTGTCGTTCATGGCTGACAAGCGAGCTCGTTTGCGACTCCATGTCACTGTGCATGGCCGTAGTATACCCTGTGCCTGTACTAGCTACTGGGGGCTTGAGCCTCACAGTGCAGAGGGGCAGTTACTTGGGTAACCGTCCATGCTCACTCAGGCCTTCCACTACTCTAGGAGTTGTTGCCAGGCCTTCCTTCACTTCAGTCAGTAACACGGGGCAATCCAATCGCTGTCCTTGGCCGGGATGCGGTGGAGCCATTTAGGGGTGGTCAGTTTGAGGCATCCTTCAAAGGCATTGTCAGCCGCATATGGATATCGCCATGCTTTCTGCTTGCTCCATGCATACTCTAGGGAGGAGAGTTCTGTACAATCCCCAAAGGCCCTGTATCCTAGATAGCGAATGCTGTCCGGAAGAGTCAGCCTTTCTAAGGCATTACACCCTACAAACACTTCTGCTCTAATTTCACTCAGGCAGTTCGGCAGCCGAATCGCAACAAGGCTGTGGCACTGCGCAAAAGTGTGCATATGAAGGATGTGAATGCCCGTGTTGAGGAGGTCGACTCGGGTAAGCCTTTTGCAATTTTCTAGGGCTCTATGGCCTATGTGGTATGTGTCCTCTCCGAGTTCTACTTGCTGGATACCGCTTGCAAAGAAGCACCCCTGAGGGAGTCCTGCCTGCGGGGATGTGAGTGTGTGACTATCAACTACTGCTCGTACATGAGGTAGGGATAGGTGAGCTAGCTTATCACATTCCTCGAAGGCATATTGGCTGACAATGGCGCCTATTGCAAGATGGCAACCTCCATCGACAATATTGCCCACGCTCTCCAGCGCGCAGCACTCAGCGAATACTCGAACACCAAACTCCACACACCCCGGCATTTCTGCTACCTGTAGGGAGTAACAGCCTTGGAAGACTGCGTATCCTAACGTCACGACCGTATCAGGCAGCTTAACAATCTGCAAGGAGTGGCAATACCGCCACCCTTGCGGGCTTATGGCAGTGAAGCCAGCATCCAATCGGGCGTGGCGGACTCGCGTGGTCGAGTGGAAGGCTTTGGCTTCAAGAATACCTGAGTCAGAGACAGGGACACGAATCGCCTTCGGACAGTCTTCATAATCAAGCCCTTGCAACGGCTTATTATTTTCTAAACACCGAAAGCACTCGTGTACAACCAGGCAGAAATGATTGGTATTCCAGAGTTCTTCCTGCACAGGATCTTGAAGCGCCACCTGCGTATCCGCATTGAGCAAGGTGAGTTCGCACCCAAACGTCTCGATGGGACTGATGCATGGCAGGTGCTCGACCAGGTATTCCTCTAGCGTGTCCCAAGTGTGGTAGATGCTAACAGGGACATGGAGCTGTATCACCGTGCCCGCTAGAGTGGTGAGATTTAGTCGAAGGAAGCTGTCTTCTTCCCAGTCAGCCTGCTGAACT